CTAAAATCAAGTATTTCTTTATTTAGGTACAGATGAGAAAAAATAGTAACTTTGGATTTAGAAGGATTCAACCGGAGACTATGTTCTGTTGCATAATTTTCAATAGAATTTAGGTCTTCTATTATTTGTGCTTACGAAATTTCTAAATTTTCATGTATGAAGCTGTGATATAATTGTGATTCGTCAGCAAAAAAACTGAAAACTACAAAGTTTCACAACCCTGTTTATATCTGATATATACGAGTACAAGATAAAGAGGAGTGGTCCAAGAACTGATCCTTGAAGCACTCCTGAGGAAATCATACGTTCTGTAAAAAATTCTGAATCCACGACTACCTTTTGGGATCTATTTACCAGAAAGCTGCATATTAAACTCAGTGATGAATCATCGAAACCATAATGCTTGCGTTTAGCAATTAAAAGAGAGTGATTTATTGTATCGAATGCCTTTGTGAAGTCCAAGAGAACTAATGGGGTAACTAAATAGTTATCCCACGCTCTGACGATATTATCAGTACTATTATATGCATTAACTTTACCCAATTAGTCTAAAAAAATGTTGCTTACCATGGAACACAGCAACGCTATCGTAGTCATTATCGACCTAGAATGTAACATAGGGTACAATGGACTGTACCCTCTGGCATATGACATCTGAAGCGCCTTTCTGGACCTGTAACTGAAATTATGTGAAACTGTGTTGTGACAACAAACATGTGGCGTTTTTTGAAAGAGGTATAATTTTGATCCACAGGGTCCGAACACGGGGGGGCTATAAATGTAATAACGTAACGCCTTGTAGTATAGCGCCAAACACCCATATTGATTATGGTTTCTGAAACACAACATACTATACGTGAAAAACTTTACAGTTTTGCTCTTTGAAATATTCCACAATTCGAAATAGCAAATATGCATGCATTGCGCTATTTACAGCAAGCAAACAATTAACTTTTAATGAATTGGATGGTCCCAACGGTCCGTTCTATGCGCCTTACCAGTAATAAAGGGCTGCTTTATATATTCATAGACTATTTTTACTTCCCTTGCTATAACAAAAATGCTATACTTACCTTTGTTAGATATTATCCCATACTTTTTTTAGCTGACACTCGCTCTTTTGGGTGTATTGGTTTCATTATAAATGTTTGTTACTTCCTCCCAAGCACATTGTTTTTTAGATTTATGGACAAGCCGTCGGTTATCTTATTTCAATGATAAATTTGAATTTAGTCAATATATCAACCAGAGAGATCTTCTCTGCCTCGCTAAACATCTTTTTATATTCGCTGTACACATTATGACCCGTCCACAGGTCATTAAAATTTTAAAGATTAACAAATATTTGAATTCAAACGTGTAGTTACGCTGCATCAGACAGACGTAATCGACAACCTGCAACCAGTAGAGCAATTAGGTGCCTATATTTAGTTTTTTACTTCTTTGTGATTACGCTATAATTCGAGAAAGTAGTCACATTATTATTTTGCATTTTTTATTGATATTTAAGGCGGCTCCGACGCAGTGAGTTTCAAGCCATTTACAAGGGTTCATCTGCTTCGAAACTGGCACTCCATTTTTCAATATTTTTGAATGAAATTCATACAGTATGTTCAGAAGATAATTGCCCAGGGTACTATAGGAGCACTTTTTGAATTTTTGTTTTTGCACAAGTTTTATGATGAGTTGAATTGCGCACTTTTTCTGTTCAACACCCTGTGGAGTTTTGTTTTCAGCACACTATGAAAATTTCATTCAAATATATCAAAAAATAAAGCGTCAATTTCGAAGCGCGCAAACCTCTACAAATCGTATTTTGGACGAATTTTGTCTACTGTTTCGTGCTGCCAACCCAAGAGTTGCGGCGCAATGTACGGACTAAGAAAGGACGTATTCAGATAATTTGGTGGCCCTATTTCATATAATATCGCATAGATAAGTCGTTCTGCAAATAGGCACTCATAATCGCGATCGCTAATACTCCTCGATTTTAAAGCCGTTTTACTTCCCACGCCAGTGGTGAGGAAGTATTGTAATCGCGAAAAATTTCTAAAATGAGATGTTATTTTTTTTTAAATCATATGACATCTACATCACGAAAAACTATACCAGTCATCATCAACTTGGAAATTACCGCTCGGATTTTAATGAAATTTCCACACGGAGTTACTAGTATGGCAAAGCTTTGTAGTTTTAGTCCAATGGCAAGGGTGCTATAGGCAAAAAAGTAACAATTGCTGAAACTCCGTTTTTGACGTTACAGGGGTTCCTTATCATTGACATAAAAAAATTGTACTGCTTAAAAAGTGAAGATTGGGGGAAGGTGATTCTAAATGTTGCATCTTTGATATCAGTGAAACACGTTCTATTATGAAGAAGCTTCTGGTCCCAGTGATTACAGGAAATTCAAGTAACTAAAATCCGACGAATTATGTACTCACGATTTGAAAAAATCGGTACCTGCTCTATATGTTTGACACCAAGAGCCAACAGATCTATCTGCAACTGCCGACTGTAGGGAAGAATGAATTCGGATATCACTCCAGTCAAGTATAGGGGAATTTATCGTGGAACTTTAAAATTATCGATATGTCAAGGAAATATGTTTTTGAGAACGATAATTTGGTAGATTTTATACCTGTATTTTCATTTGAATTTCATGACCCGTGAAATGTACCCATTTCGCTGTTACCTTCAATTTTTGTTCTGCAGTTTGAGATGTTTTCCTGGATATAAGCAGGACACAATTGCCTAAGGTGCTGTCAGAGCTTTTTAGAAAATTTTGTCTTTGTGCAAGAATTATGGTGGGTTGAAATGCTTACTATTTATGCTCAACTTCTTGATATTTCAAGAAGTAGATAAAATCGAAAAAGTGGATCGTTAGCACCCTATGGACTTTGTTTTTAGCATGCTGCAAGAGTTTCATTTGGAAATAATCAAAAATGAAACGTAAACTGTGAAGTGCAAATCGGTTTTTGGGTAAAATTCGTCTACTGTTTCGTCCTGCCAGTCCAAGCGACGCGACGGTGCGTTCCGACTAAGAAAAAATGTATTCAAATAATTTATTATCTTTAGTAAAATAAATTCAGGAACTCAAATTCAAATTCGTTTATTCATGTCAATAAACACAATTATGTTAACAAGGGTCATGTGGTACATGGTAACAATTGAACGAGGGTCATAAAAATATGTAATGCCGTCAAAATAAGAGAAAACAGTTAGGTAGTTTTTGCAAAGCAATAAAGGCTTATACCTAGATTAAGTACATTTCTTGTCTACTGTAATAGGTAGATGGAGGCGATGCTGCCAGAAATGGATGTGTGCGATCAATAAACAAACCACAAGATTGAACTGCGGTGTCCAATGATTTTTGGATTGCCTTTTTTATTGCCTTACTAGAAAACTCTGTTGGGTATATGATGGAGCTTACTTGAACTTTACACCTTGTTGTCTGCCTTCTTCTACAAACTTCACCAAATCGAGACGCTGTGAACCTTATCCTCCGATGAAGGCGCCACAAAGTACAGTCCTGTGATTTGGTGACTTGTTCGATCTTCAAAATCTCGTCGTCACTTTTTTTAAGTTTCTCTAAAAATTCTTGCTTAGCAACGTCCAAATAAATGTCGTTCATGTCAGGTTTTTGACAGAATTCGATATAAAACTATTCATTTTCTTTGGAATTGCTATCCGAATCGTCAGTTATTTTTATATCAGCTTTTTTGGCCTGAGTTTCTTTCGAAGATTCTTGCGTTTGACTCTTTGTTCCATCTTAGCGATAAGCGAGGTTGGACTAAGCTTAGAACGCAAATGCACATCTTCCATGGTATGACCTTTTCTTGCAATAATTTATTCGCTTACTCCCCAATGTATTTTGCGATTATAGAGTCAAACTGCTCCACACTATTGTTGACCTCATCATGAATTAAACTCACTGCATTCGTAATTAAAATGGCCGCGTATGACCTTTTATTGTCCATTATCAACATTGATAAAAAAGGCACTCAACAATAATCACACCAATAAGAGTACAGCATAACAATTTAACAACACAATATCGACGAACAGTAACAAGGGGAGAAACATACTAAATGATCACTTGCTGAGTACCAAAATAGAAAGGATTTACAGGCTTGATCGCTAATCGAAATCCGACTCTGTTATTATAAAAATTTACCTTGGTATGCAGTCATGATTTCCTGTTTTAAAGTAGCGCCGACGACCGTCCTCGTTTCCTTTTCACCCCCCCGTTACCTCAGCAGATGGTGCTGGTGATTGTAGGAGCCCCGTTAACACATGAAAACCAAATCGTCCCAAATTTATCATCAAAATGCTAAATAGATACTGTTAACAAAAAAACTTTCTGACATCGACGACAGTTCGTGATGACAACTGTTACAGCCTAATGTGAAATAAAATTTCAAATCCTCCCTTGAACCCTGAAGCAAGCATCATTGTTTCCAATGAGAGGGGGGGCGACTTGCATGCTTAAGCACTTCCTGAGAGCAAATGCTGTGGTGACAATTGAAAATCTAGGAGTGGGATACGTATCACGTGCCACGATTCGGGTGTAGAAAACTTTTACACTAAGACACAGCAATATGGACCATTATCTAGAAAAAAATGCATAATTGGGCTCTGAAAAATTTGCAGCTTGTCAGGAAAACAAAAACGTGATAGGATCAAACAATTTCCAAATCACGTTCGATCCCAAATGTCGCTCAATACAGATTTGTGAAATCTATTTGCCGTTCTTAGAATGAGTTGGATTGGTTGGTAGTCTGTATAACGAACGTCACAAAATTTAGTTACTATGTTACATTGCATTTTGAAATGAAAAAGATATCAATTCAATCACTTGCATCCTCTTATAATATGTTAGAATTAAAAATAATATCTGGGATACTTTCTCAAATACATGACATTATTTGAGAAATCATATCTTGGAAGGACAGCATGTCAACAAAGAACACCCTGTATGTTTTGCTCATATTTTGTTTTCGTTCCAGATACTCAGAGGCAACAGTGATACGGCCTCAGTGGAGAGTCATCGTCTGATGCCAACTATCTTTGCCAGCAAAATAAGGATCCTACCTCATAGCATTCACAGGAGGACTGTTTGTTTGAGGATGGAGTTGCTAGGGTGCCCTTATGAAGGTGAGTAACAAGTTAATTTTCTATTTAGGAATTGCAAAAGTATGCTTTGCACCACCGTGAGGACGCGCTCTTGCTATAACTAACTTGTTGGAATGATCTATTCTCAATGCGATGTTTGCTCAAATTGTTGTTTCAACATAACAGCAATAGTTTGCTTCCATATACTATTCACTTTTTCTATAAACAAGAAGTTGCAAAACTACAAACGTAAGTTTTACGCAGAATAATCAATGTCATAATCATGTCAATTTGGATTTCGGCCTGAGCATAATAATGTGACAAATAGCGCCATCTGTTGAGCGAATCTCCTACTCGCCAGAGCTTCATGACTGATCTCTGCTTTTACGCGAACCACGGCCGCACAAGCCGCCTGGCGGCGTCTGTGAGGACCGTGACAGTGGATCGCCTTCTAGATCTACGCGAAGTGATCTCCAACATTCTAGATGTCGCTTTGTGGGACACTCGTTCTTTCTCGAAGTAGCAGTTGGGACTATACAGGGTGACTTTGAAGTTGAGTCATTAATTTTCAGATAATGATTGTAGAAGGAAGATAAACCAAAATATGTGTGTAAAAATAAAAAAAAATTAAAAAAAAATGTTTAACCTAGTTTTATAAAGTATCCTCCCGACAAGTATTTCAGTGCGGACCTGTATTTGATCGTGAGGTCCCCTGTGAGGTCTTAAGTCACCTGATTCACGAGCCCGTTGTCCTACATTAACAAAGGCACGAGGGGTTGGTTGCACTCGATTGGGAAACCGATCCGCATAAACATGTGCCATTTTTATTTCGTTTGAGCCACGCAACAGACACTATTCACACGCGTTACCGACTGACACCAGACTGACACTGACTGTATGTATAACTGAACTGAATAAAATAATTGTAAAAACATCGTTCCAAATTCTTTCGCTTTTTTGTTTCCGATGCGATGAACCGATAAGGCGGATTATATCCGTTGTTGCCAAACACGAGCACATGATATTATTATTGAGACAGGGCGGTACTCAAACTTCCAAAGGGCTATAACTTTGTTACTTTAATTTTACCAGAAAAATGGTAAAGGAAAAAAACATTTCTTTTGATCAGATCTACTCACTGTTAAAATAAATGACTCAACTTCGAAGTCACCCTGTATATAACTTTGCGGCCGGGAGATGGAGGCAGAGTACGGAATACGGTAGAGTAGCAGAGCGGAGAGAAGTATAGTGCAGTAAATGGTGACATAAGAATAAGTCAGACATAAATGGTGGTGTATATAAATGTTTTATCCAGTCAAATAAATTAGTGTATTTCTTTTTGTGGAATCCAGTGTTTTAATCCACACCCAAAAGAACCCAGGAAAACGCTACAGTAATGAGTTGCAGGCCGTTAGGCTTATGGACCAAGTAACCAGAGGTCTCACCCTTAACAGTACTGACATCTTGCTTCTGGATGTCTCGATGACACTCGACAAGGTCTGGTACAAGTACCTTCTCTCTAATTTGATCAAGAAGCGCTTTCCATTTTAGCGCCTAAAACTTTTGAAATCCTTTCTTGAGAGTAGGAAATTTCGGATCAAAATTAAGAATGTCTTGTCGACAGCATCGCCGATCAGATCTCCTTCAGGGTTCAGTTCTAGGACCAATCCTGAAGTCATTTTTCACTCCTGACGTCCCTTGCCCCAACGACTGTGGGGTCTATCTATATGCTGACGACACTGCACTGGTAGGAGTTCCGGGTATCTGGTTGTACTAAAAAACGTAGCGATCAAGGAAAAATTCTCTCAAGTATCTTGACGACACTCTTGACGATGGGATGACCTGACACAAGCACACTGAAGTATTGAAAGCCAAATTCCAAATTACGTTTCGGCAACTGAACCCGATGCAATGCAGAACCTCAAAATTAAGTTTAATCAACAAAGTTCGGTTATATACAAGGTGGCTATTAGACTAGCAATCACTAACGCCACATGGTATGTCTCCAGCAAGGCCCTTCATACAGGCCTGGACATCCCTTACTTAAGCGACTACATCAAACAACAGACGCAGTTACGTTATAGTCAAACGAAATCGAACTGCGTTGCGAGAGTCAGTAGGCTACACAGTCTAGCAAGTTCGCAAGCACACAAGACAGCGGCCAACCAAAATTACAATCTTTCCACTCATACACATCTCTGAATTATTTTTTGGATCAATCTAAAATTAATGAAGGAATTAATAACAATGCCAAAGCACTCCTTCAACTGTGGTACTTCCTACTCTTTGCTCTTTCCCTTTCTTTCTTCTACCCCTCCTTCTCCCTGACTTTGTCTGGAATCTGAGAAACAGACCTACGACGAATACACAGTCGCGTTCTATCGGCAAGCGCGAATTTAGAGGAAGGGCCATGGGGGCACCCCGCTAGAGGCACAGGCCTGACATTTTTTTTTTCAAGAAGATGGTAGATATTGCTGTGTCTGTGTAAAAATTACCCTGATAGACCTGAATCGTGACACGTGACACCCCCCACCCCCTAGTCATATTACATCCACCCCTCTTCAGTTGTTACTAGGGCATTTGCTCTCAGAAGCGATCTCTAAGTGCTAGAGCATGCAGACCTCCCCCACCCGCTCTCCAATTTCCAATCGTTCATAATCCCCCCTCCCCAGAGACGAACGTCTTCCTGAACATAAATGACGTGACCACCGCTGCACCCCGCCACAGTAGATTCCTAAATCCTCCTTGCCTATCGGCAACCAGAAGCAACGACAATGAAGGTAAGCAAATGAAGATGTCAATTGCTGATTAGCTGTTCACGTCATTAGAAGCAAAAAATCTGTTAGCCTTGTATAAAATCTGTCTGTTTCCCGTTTTTGGCCCAGAGTTCCCCAAACTTTTTTGTGTCGTAGACCCCTTGCCATGTTTTTCCGTGTTGGGTAGACCCCCTACTTACCTGATATTGATTTCCTGTAAAATTTTAACTGTAGTGAAGTTTAGTGTTAAAAACTTAAAGTAAAAACACATGTTAATTTATACATTTATTAATTGAATTGAAATTGAAACTACTCAAAATAAAATTTTGTATCTGTTATGTAACATTAAATAAACAGGTGTCTGACCAATAAGTGCCCGCATTGGGAATAAGCGCCCGCATTGAAAAAAAAAATAAGAGGGATAAAATAAAAAAAAAGTGAAAAATAATAAAAAAAAAGTTTTTTACCTAAAATAGTACAATAAGCGAGTTCGTTTATTAATTATAACATAAACGTATGTTCTACAATAATTTCACTGTTAGTTTGATTAAATTCCGCTTCTTATACGTTTAAGTTATCTAAAATAGGCAAAAAATTAACGAATTTTTGTGTGTACTTGAATTTTTAGAATAATTTAAAAAAAATATTTTCTATAAAGGGGGTTCTTTAAAAAAATCAATGCGGGCAGTTATTCCCAATGCGGGCATTTATTGGTCAGACACCAATAAAAATAAAATAAGCTATAAATAAAATAACATAAGCAATAAGTCAATATTTTTAGTGAGAAGGATGAACCTGTTGCTTTAATAATGAATTATCAACATTTGGCGTCAATTTTGTAAGGGTTAATCTTAAATCTCCTCGGCTAATGATGTCCAGTCTGTTTCTTTTTTTCGTTAGGCGATTGGTAACAGCGCTGAACCCCCTTTCCACTAGGTATGACGATGGAAAGGAAATTAAAAATTTCCTCGCTATATTCCATAATACGGGATAAGTAAAGTGTAAGTTGTTTTGCAGCCAGAATTGCTAATATCCGTTTTTAAACTGAACCTTAAGTTCTTCGTTTGTATTCAGTTCCTCTTGTATTATGACATTCGTTTCTTCTATGTCACCATATGGATTAATTATCCACGGTGGTATTACCATAGTCAAAATATCCTCAAACCTAGATTCAAAATCTGAATAGAGGGCATTTAAATGTTGGACGTAAGTTGAAACGTCGTCTTCCTGGCAGCTTGTCTGTGACAAATTGGGGAACTGAGAAAATTCGCCCCGTCCAATATTTTGCTTCATTAGTTTAACTCTGGCAAGAAATGCTGATAAGACGGACTTTGTTTTAAACAAATTTAAACTGTCGCCTTGTAATTGCAAATTAACCATATTAAATTTTGTAAACAAATCTGTTAAATAGGCGATGTCTGTTTTCCTCTTCATTAAACTTTCTTTTAAAATGTTATCTTTAGTATCCAGAAATTTTGAAATAGTCTCAAAAAGTGCAAAAAATCTTGTCAAACATAAGCCTTTAGACAGCCAGCGTACTTCAGTGTGAAGGAGTAATTGATGAAAGTGTTCATCATTTTCTTCACACAACTGCGCAAATAACCGCGTATTCAACGCGTTGCTTCGGATTCGGTTTACTGCATCAATGACTAAATGAAGTGATTCATGCAATCTAACACTCAAATTTTTAGCAAATAAATGTTGTCGATGGATAACGCAATGTATTGCTAACACCCCTGACACATTTTGTTTTAAATAGCTTATAAATCCACGATAACGTCCAACCATGCAGGTGCTCCATCTGTAGCTACTGATACTATATTTGATAAAGGAATTGCTTTTTCAATGAAGTAATCCTTCAAAACATGAAATATTGATTCACCTTTAGTGTCGGTTATCAATGTTCTTGCGAAGAGCAGTTCTTCGTAGATTTCTTGATTCATAATAAAACGAACATATGCCAATAATAATGCTGCATTATCAGGTAAAGTTGACTCGTCCAATTGTATAGAGAAATGGGTCGTTTGCAAATAATTACATAAGAAGCTTTCAATATCAGAACTCATTTCATCAATACGTCTTTCAACAGTATTGTTGCTTAAGGGAATTCTTTTAATGATATCAGATGCAGGTTTGTGTAAAACAGTTTTTAAAACCTCTTCAACGGCTGGCAAAATTAACTTCTCTCCGATAGTATGCGGTTTTCCGGATTTTGCTATAAGTAACGAGATATTGTAAGACGCCCGCAAACCATCATTCATTCTGTCCAGTGTAGGTTTCTTCTGA